CGAAGAGAGAATAGCCATATTTAAAAAAATTGATCAGTTTGACGAAGCAAGTCATGATGAGTTTATCTTGTTATATAAATTATATAAAGAATTTGAAAAGAGCAATAGCCATCTTAATACGGAAATTCGTGACGATTCAGAAAACCTAGAAATCAGTACAGTGGACACAGAAATAGAAAATATGGAAATTATTTTCGACGAAAATATACTTTTTAGACTAGATGTAAATGAAGAGGAAAAAAGCGACCAACATTTATCACGTCACAATTATTTCGAAGAAACTGTGGAGACAGGGGAGAATTACAAAAAAATGTAACACACGAAGGGCATGTAGAAGAATTACAGGAAAATAAAAAAGAAACTCGGCTTTTACCAGAAGCTATGGAAACAAATGATATATTAGATGAAAATTTAACACAGGAAAAATCTGTAGAAAAATTACCTAATAAGGAAAATAAAGAAGAAACCCAGTCTTTAGAAGAAACTGTGCTAACAAGTGATATATCACAAGAAATTTTAACCCAGGAGGTGCCTTCAGTTGAAGAATCATTTATAGAGGACAATAAAGAAAATACCCAAAATAATAGAAGCATTCGAGATTTCGTTATTTGGCCTAAAACACCAGAAAGAAAAGGAAAAAAGGATTACCAACGATTACCGTTTGTTTTAACTAGTTCAGGATGGAAAAGAATTCAGATGGAGAAATTGGCAAATAAAAAACAAGAACAGAAAAGAAAAGAAACACGTAAAACAGAAAGATTATCCAAGCAAAAAGAAAAAGCTGCAAAAAAAATTGGGAGAAAAAACATCAAAACAAGAAAGCAAAAAAATGATATAGTGAAAGAAAACAAAAATAAAACTAAATCTAAAAGTCCCAAACTGAATACTGACCGCCTAAACAAATATGATAATGCAGCAGGGACAAGCGGATTAAACAATAATACAAAAATACCTCAACGTCACGTACGAAAAGTATTCAGCAGTTCTGGAAGTGATGATGAACCCCAAAAGAATGACTTTGTTTATAATTCAATAGCTGTCGGAAAACTTTGTTTCATTGTACGAAAAATATTACAAATTCAAACAAAGGTATCCGATGCTACAAGTGCAGCCGAACGTATCATAATTTGTGCATTATAAAAATTAGTCCTTCAGTAGATAAGGATAAAATTTTTTATTGTAAGACTTGTGTTGCTTTATAAATAAAATCTTTGAAAATTTTTTTTTATTATCTAACAATAACATATAATATCCAAATAATTAATTCACTAGGTATAGGTACGTACCTATCTACCTATCGTTTTAATAATGTGATTTACCTATGCCAATTACTGGTATTCAAGTGGCCAATAATTGAAAGTTAGTGGCCAATCTTTGGTTATTTTACAAATAACAAATTGTTTCGAAATTACAAATAAACATTGATTTAAATGGAGAAAATATTTTTTAAAATCATTTATCAATAAACTGAAGAAACCAAAAAATAATATTACGGGGTCTGTAAGTGAAATTTTATTTCAAAAAATTGAATTAACTGCATCCACCTTCTTAACTGGCCAATCACTGTATAGTTTACCCTAGGTACGATAAAGAGCCCAACAAAATAAAAAAAAATTGGGGCTGATCAAACAAACAGGTTAAAAATATTGCCCTTTTGAGAAATATCATGATACTAATAGAAACCTTTAATTGCAAAAGAAATAATTATATTGCCAATATTTCATATCAAGTTAGAGATTATGCAGCAATTTGTAAAAGCTTTCGATCAGTAAGAGACAAAATTAGCTTTTGTTTTGTTCAATATTGGGCAAATGAGGCAGATATAGACAGATATGTATATACGTTTGTATATCCAGCTAAATGTGCAATATCAACAGATAAAAAAATTTTTACAATTGATTTAATATTAATAGAAAAATAGACTAACACAAGAACAAAAATGTATAACGTGCGTCACAGCACCTGAATTAGTTGCTAACTCTTATCAACATTTTAATTAAAGAAGTCAATATTACTTTGCATAGTATTATCAGTTAGCAAATAAGTAATGTACACTATTCTAGGTGAGATGTAATTGTTAAAAATTGTGTTATTCTAGTTAGATATACGTATATTTATTTATTTAGAACATTTTGAACATTTTTCGTAGCTTCGAGCATATTTAAAATGTTATTAGTGATACTTACTGTTATTTTTTTATTAGAAAAAGATGTCGCAGAACAAAATATTGTACAAAATATTTATGGATCTGAGATAATTCACTATATTGCCACAGAAACAGTTTTGACCTAGAGCCTGTGGTAGAGCGTTTGGGATCTTGTAGCGCTGTCTTTCTTGGTCATATTTGCTACAAATTGTTGAAAAGTGTTCTGGACGTTACACTGATCACATATAGGTGGATTATTCTTTGTGAAAAGGTAGGAGTGCGTTAATCCGGTATGTCCTAGACGTAAACGCGCAACCGCAATTTGTTCTCGTCTATTGTGCCTACGAATATCATCGATTCAAAGAATGTCAAACATGAGTACTTGGGACATGTGATGAGAGGGCAAAATACGCATTATTACAACTTATTATGCAGGGCAAAATCCGAGGAAAGCGAAATGTGGGAAGACGAAAAATATCCTGGCTTAAGAACTTAAGGGAATGGTTTGAATGCAGTAGTGCAGAACTTTAGAGCGCAGTCAATAGAGTCCGCATAGCCATGATAATTTCCAACCTTCATAGAAGATGGAACTTAAAGAAGAAGAATTGTGCGACGATGGAAACCACTGAGACACATTATTTTTGATTTTATTTAGATTGGAATTAGTTTGAGCCCATTAATTTCGCCACAAACACCACACTTTATTTTTAAAATAAGCTTTTAAGTCACTGGAAAAGCACTTGTCTATCGGCTCCGACAAATCACTTAAAATTGCCTCTCGTGGAGTCCTGTCAGCTTCTTCATTTCCTGTTATTCCAACGTGAGAGGGAACCCATAAAAACTGGACGCTTCTTCCATGTTCATGAGCTTGGGAAAGCTTTTTAAAGTATTTTAGCGTTTACGGAAACAAGTGAAATTTTTTGAATTGTACAACTGATTGGTCTTTAAGTTTGTCTCCTGTAGACAAATAATATCTGGTAAGATTATTCAGATAAAAGAAGCTGTAGCATACGGAGACGATGAAAAATCCATCAATGTTCCATTGAAGTATCGAAATAATGTTGTTAACAGATTCGGAGTTAGATGATACTGAACAATTGTCTACAGAAGAGTCACTATCTAAGTCAGAAATCTCTTTCCCTAAATTATTGTGTAGTTTCTTTTGAAGTATTGTAAACTTGCTTTTGTAGATCTATCATTTGCATATTGATAGCTGCTTTGTAAAAGATGGAGTAAACCAGCTATATCAGTTGTAAATTCTTTGACGACGCTAATAGTGTCGGTGGAGCCTTAGACATTATCAATCAGTAAGAGACATTGGTGGTAATTTAAAACGAATGGTGGGGTATGATTATCAGTGAAATTTTCAAGAGTTTCCCGTGTAGATGGGACTTTACATGAGCGCGGTTATTTTGGTTTAGAGGGTTTGGGTTTTGCAAACAGATATTCTGATGAAATTGCTGAGTCTGAAGGAGGCGTGACGATCTATCGTGACCAATACTGCGTTTTATGGAATACCTTGCATTTTCGCAATTGCTATTAGAGTTTTCACTTAGATGCTGTGGCTTTATTACATTTGGAAGTATTGGAGCAAACTCATTGGTAGTGACAGAAGTGGAGCTTGAAGTTTTATTTGTAAGATTGGTTGAAATGGTTGTTTCAGAAAATTGTGGTGATGTATCAGTTTCATTAGAATTTTCTTCAGTTGTATCTAATGGAAAAGGAGCTGATAGATTGAAGGATATTGCTTCCGAAGTTTGTGAAAACGGTATTGCCGCTGAATGAGGTTGATTGAAAGTGTTGCTATGAGTAGGAGTATTAGTAATTTTTTTGTCATGTAGATTTGTAGGTGTAGGTGATATGCTCGGATTTGATAATGGATAACTTGATGACTGCTGGGTGTTTGGTACCTTGTGTAGTATACTTGTTGAAGTTGTTTGATTTGGTACTTCATTGTTTGACTCAATATGAGTTGATTCCGTTACTGAACTGTTATTGCATTGGGATAATATGTGTCATGTATTTTTCCAAATAAAGCAGTTGACTGTACCTTGTGACAAAAATATGCGGTAAGGTGTTTGGTCGAAATTTATTAAAATAGAATCTGGAATTGGTGATGTTATAGGGCTTATATAAACTTGCCTCCGAAAGCTCAATATGTGACTATATTCGGGAATAGTCGAGCTAATTTTCAGAAATGTTATTCGGGAAATAAGCTTTAAACTGATATTCTGTAATTATTCAACTAATACTTGATGAGGAATTGACGGGCAGACTCCAGACAAGACTAGTCTTTCTCTCCCTTACCCTTTGTGTCACTGTCTCTGTCTACTGTCTTGTCACTTGTTGCCAACTCACAATAAGATAATATTTATAATATGTAAAATAATAAAACTGTGTATTCAAAACAATTAAACATAACTCCTTGTTTGTGTGAACAATCTGAGAACGTTTCGTGATTATGAGAAATGAGAACTGTTACATTCAAACCTGTACATAATTTGAATGACGCGCCACACACAAAATCAAGTGCGATTGGATTGGTCAGGATTATGCTGACCTGTCAACGGCTAGACGCTAGTGATGCCAAGTACTATAATGTGTTTATGTGATTCAAGAAGTGTTTGTTATCTGATACACAAACTTAGATAAAATACATACGATATTAGTCGAGTTAGTTTTAAGATTAGAGACATTAGAGTCGTGTTATAACCTTTAATAAAAAACACACATATATAATTAGTATTTTGTATGCTATAGATAAAACATGCAAAAATACATGACAAACTATTCTAAATACTTCAAAAAACGGCGCCGTTTCAAATCACAAAGCTAGAAAAGCGATAAATCTTACCTCTTATACACCTAATGTAATTACTAAATTCTTTTTGTAGTCTATTGGCAGCATTTTGTTGTCTTGTGAAATTCTGTAAGTGTTCGTCGAATATTTCGTCAGCCGTCCGGTCAACCTTCCCAAGATTCTGTAACAACTGCAACAGAAAATTAGTTATTAGTTTAGAATTACTAAAAACAAATACGTGCAAAAAGAACAAGCGTATCAATATACTTTTACTCATTGTTGATGTAAGGGGTTATTTATTTCTATAATATTCTTTTGAAAATATGCACAAAAAGAAAACCATAGCATAAAAAACTTATTGCAAGATTGAAGCTCATATATCAAGTTCTTTAACTCTTCTGAAGAAATGTCATGTCAGTGTATGTTACAAATATGTGACGACGGATATTAAAAATCAGTTAAACCGAATATCTCTGTATTTCCGTCAACGAAATAACTGTTACAAAAATGGTGGACAAATTGCGAAACAAATTGTTGGAGTTCTTATCGACTCTTACTCTAAATTAAGCTACAAGCTAGATTTGTTAACGAATCCCTAACCATTTTTTTTATACCTGATCAATACCATTTAAAAAATATTAATGGTGATACCGTTTCGTATATGATCAAAGCTGCATCCAATCTTTAATTGACTTATTCAGTTAATTATTGTCCACTTGATTTGATACGAAGTAAGGTAATCGCTACTGCACCTTTATTTCACCCGTAGAAAAAAATCACAAAACTACGCAAAGTACATTAAATTTCAAACCTACCCATGGGGATAAAATTAATTCAAAATATAATATCAGCATTATGCTCTACCCTTAATCCGTATTGATTTATAGAAAATCCTATTAGGAGTTCTAATACTGGTGCCCCAATTCCCTATTTATCGATCTTATATTACTGGATGGAGGCGATGAAAAGTACAAATTACATCTGAATTAATAAAAAAGATGGATTCTGTCTGCATCCTGAGTTTATTAAATTGATTTGTTCTAATGTAAAAACAGTTTTAATAAAATCATTTCATGCTAAGCTTTGTTATGTGCAGTGGTGTATACAATTTTAAATGTGGCGGCTGCACAAAAACTTACATCGGTCAAACTGGTTGAAACTTTATAAAACTTATAGCAGAACATAAAAGGGCTTTCAATAATAGAAAAACAGATTCTACATACGCACTTCACTTTCTAGATCATAATTATTCTTTTAATGACGAATTTCAAATTCTTCACATCCAAAATAAAGGCCTTAAGCTCTCTTTATTTGAATCTTTTTATTAGCAAAGAATTTTTCATACAATATCTTATCGTGGACCTCATTTAATACTGAGTTACAGCGAAAATACATTTCTTTATAAAATGCAGCAAGTTATTTTATGAAGAGATCTAAAACGATAATACAAATTACCGATCATGAACAATATTTTCAGTATATCCAATTAACAAAACACGAAAAGAGAGTTATCTGTGGAACATTCGTTAGATCAGAGACCATAATTTATCGCTGCTCACAATAAGGACCATTAGAGACTTTTAACATGGCCATAGACAACACGACAATTAAGGTTAGAATCATTTATTTTATAGACAACGTGCAGTTGTTATTTGCATTGCGTAATTGTTGGTAATTAATGGAGTAAAAGTTCAATAAAAATGAGTTTTCAGTGAACATCTTAATTGAGGTGCTTCACACGTGGAGTACGATTAGAAACACAAAAAAATGTTCATGGTTAAAACTACATATACAAATATTACTAGAATTATTTATTAACACTTTCCTTGAACCCAAAATTCTCATAAATCAAGGGAGCTTGAACATTTTTTGATATTATAAATTCTAACGAATTTTTATTTACTATTTCTTTATCTAAAATCATGTGAGCTTAAACATTGTTAGTTGATTCCGATAAAATATTGTTTATTTTCCTTCATCCTCGCTACTCGATGAAAAAGTGTATGTAAATGTAAACATATTTTTCCTAGCCTTATTAGGATTTCTAGGGAAGACTGTGGGGTCATCAGCACAATCATCGAATGTGATTTAAACTTCTATTTCAACGTCTTCTGGTGATTTATTTCTCAAATAATTTCCGTTAGTTGCACTCAAAGAAAAAGCTAAAAATTAGACTAACACGCAGTGTTTCATCCTGTTTTCAGTGAAATATGGTAGACGAAAATGCGCACTGGTGGCTATACGTACCGGCTAAATCATCACCGTTGTTGACGTGGTATGCATTCTTACCACATATACTCAAGACATCAAGTGAAGTGCATAACACTCAATTTCTCGTGATATTCGTTCCAAAATAAACTTTAAACTTGTATAAAAGCTATTGCTACCACTACCACTTAAAGGGTTAAATTCAAATTTAAATGATTCTCTTATTGGTGAAAAAATGTCAGAAATATGTAGAAAGCAAGGAAGACCGAAAACATGTCTATCAACTAATATCAGCAAAGTAATGTTCACGAAAAACTTTGAACAGTTCTTCAATAAAATGTTTTATACTGAACATACTGTCGTTAGTAGACTTTGGTGTTTTAAAAATCGTGTTATTTTTGCTTATGATGGCGTTTGTAATATTTTTTAATTCATCGGTAATCATTTTATGTTTTTAATACATCAACAGACTTTTATTTACTGTTTATTCATCAATGTATCAACAGACTGTTTATTTATTTACAGACTGACACTTCTACAGTTTCCGTGATTGTGAAGGTTGCATTTTGTAAAACATCATATGGTTCTATAGTCCAAATCGAGCTCTGCTTCCCTCAGCAAACCTCTCCGATCATTAGGCTCTCTAGCCATTCTTCTCCTCGATCGACTGTCAAGAACATTTCTTGAATCCTCATCCACATTACATCTTAACTAGTAATGAAATGTAATTTTTAACAGATTAGTATTATTCTAATCTGTATCAGTATTATTTATAATATCGTTTATGACGACTATATCTAGTTCTTACGACGATATCCCACTCTGTTAATTTCCATAAATATTTATTTTCAACCATTTAATTGTTGTCCCTCAAATGTCCAAAAGTGTATGCAAAATTGTCGGCTAGAACTCGATAGTGACTCAGTGAAACGCCTACAACCAAAATAAAAGTGATATTGCCTTTTAAAATCACAATTTGCGGTTTGTTTGTTTGATAAACGAGTTGAATGTATGAAAAGGAATTCGTTTATTGTTAAATTTAACATGGACATGGAGTTTATGTACTTTTAATTTCAAGAATTTATTATTAAATTCTTAAACAGATCAATTTTTTGAAAAAATGGAAACTTATTTGGATTTATGTATGCAAACATACATACATACATAGATACTATATTATGGGAAGAGCATATGAGTCCATTTGTAGACAAATTTTGACACGTTACTAGCTCTAAAATATTAGGAAATATACTGAACCAAGATGGATAATAAATGCATTTGATAAAGATCAGTATTGTTGTCACACAAGACAAAGATATGAATAGACAATCTATTTGCTTTCATTCACGTGTTTTATGTCCTTTTTTTTTGTTCTTCTAAATTTTTCTTAAAACTCTCATGTTTTTTTTTTCGAGATCAGATGTCAAAGGTGAAAGACCCTGGTTGCGTTCTGTCTTTTATATGAGGCAGAGGGGAGTATGCTTCTCTACCGTACTTCCCACTAATAAACTTGATAAACTCTTCAACAACTTACGGGTTAATAGCCCTAAAAAACATCAGAACTGTAGGAAAGTTGTTTTGTTTTGGAAGACTAAAACTCCATTGATCCCTTTAGAACATACCAATAGTGTCTCTCATATACCCTGTGCAGTAAGTCCTGCTACTTTTGCCAGACCAGAAGCTCTCTTTAAAGTCGTCTAACTTCTCATAAAAGCCAGATTAGGATTTCCAAACCCTCTTGTGCCCTTGCACAATATGCCACCTCAACTAAACATCAAATCGACTTCGCAAACGTCAAAATACTGGCCAAGTAACAAAATTATAATAAGAGATTACTCCTTTAAATGTGCCATATTCTTAAACATCTCTCAGCCCTAAATAAACGAACTGACATCGATAATTTGAACCAGATTTATCACTCTCTCATTTTACACAATAAATTAGAATCACATCATTCCCTTTATTCCGAATGAAACAAATATTCTAATATTGATCCGTCATTCAAAACCTTCCGTTGAACAAATTATTCCACGAACCCCTTCGTCATATTTCTTCGTCAATCCCTTTTGACAATTCGCACTGTTAAGGCATGATCACCCATTTAGCGATAGCGTTAGGAAGGAAAGTTATTTCATCAGGTTGTTTAGTCAGGTTATTTAAACCACGTTTGTTTCAACTAAATGGTTTATACTTATTTTAGGCAATTTTAAACCTGATGATGGAATGTTTTATTCCGAAAACGTTTGTTTTTTGATGTAGCCCTTTTAAGGGTTTTTTAAATATACCCATTTACGAAGATTAACCTCTTTTTTGTGATACGTGGTATACAGCCAGCTACAGGAATTGTTTCCCTTGTGCATTTTGAAAGTTATTTGCACTGAATGTTAAGCAACCTCACAGTTTTTAGAACATCTAAAAAACTACAAATTGTTTTATAAGTATAGAACTAATTGAAGTCGCTTACTTATAAACTTCTTCATTATTTTTTTTAGTGAACTGAGGAAGCTTTTGAAAATTAAAAAAAAGCGAAACGTATTCACGTTCAAGCCAGTGTTTTCTCATTGTTTCCCTTCGTCCATTACTATCCTTCTACTATTTCTTCTTGTTCATTTTCTGAGAATTCGGAATCAAAAGAGTCATTATAACACGGCTTCAGATCTTTTATATGCCAGCGTTCAGCATTAGTACCGTCTTCGTTTCGTATTTGATACACCAGACCAGAGAATTTTTTAGATATTGTACCCTTGACATACTTGGGAGCAAGCTTAGACATGAAACGGTTTGGAGCACTACTAAGAACAATATTTTTTCGCCACACGGTATCACCAACAGAAAATTGAACATCTCGTTTGCGGAGATTATAGTATTTGGCATTTCTTTCGTAGGCTTTAGATAGGTGGATTTGGACTTCCTTGAAGACAGTCGACAAACCAGTTATTTCAGAGGCATATTCGTCTCTGTTAACGGGAGAGAATTCGATAA